CTCGCGCTGAACGTGGCACAGTACTAAGATGTCGAATGAAAGCAAAATTAGACCTGCTCAACTTCAATCTCGCATTTAAAGATAGTTTATCTTAGCACTGAAATCCAAAACTTTGGTTCGGAAAGATGCATGAAATATATAGAGCGCACGCATTGTTCGAAACTTCAAAACACCAGAACATGTATCATAGAGACAAAAGCCATGCACAGCGAAAGTAAGCCTCAAACGGATGTCTTTATTCGTTATGACCACTGCTGTGCTGCTGTTGTTGAATGCTCATGGCAATATTGGTGAGAGGTCCTCGGTTGAAGCTTCGACTTCGGCAGACTTTTGCTCGACTTGCTCCCTCCCGACGATGGAAGGAAGTCGGGAGTGATCGCCCTGCCCCGGGTTTAACGCTGTGTCAACAAGCGCCCGCGGCTTCGGGTTGCTGGTATGTGGCATGCCTCCACAAAGATTGCCTGTCTATAAGTGGATTCTTCGGTGCGGTGGCGCACTCCGAGGGTGTGGTCTCGTCCTGAGCCATCAGAGCAGTCGGAGCAGTATTAAAACTGGTGAAAAAAATCTGAAAAAGATGTTGAAGTGGGCATAGATTTTGCTTCGGCATGGTCTAAAATGATTCAATGAAAGCGCAGCCACCGCAGGCAGAGATCGCGTGCGTCACTTTCGTCAGGTGTTGCGGCAGTTTTTTCCGCTCGCGCCGTTTGCGTTTACACCACCGCTTCACTTACCCAGAGGATATGAATAAGCACTGGACGTGTTTGTCACCGACTCTTTGAACCAGATCCAACACACTGCTATCGCACCCAGCCACTGCAGTGGCCATGACCCAGCCACTTTAACCTCGAACTTTAAACGCAACAGAAAAGCAGCAAAGAAGCATTAACAACTAAGACGTCATTTTTTCGATGTGGGCGGATAGTCCTCTGTCCCCCCCCCCTTCTGTTGTGATCTTTATCGAGGTCACCGTTACAGGCCGAGTCCACCGCCGCTGAAACGACGCCGGGGGCCGCGGCGGCGGCAAAGCACGGCTCCGCTTGGCGAATCTCCGGAATTAGAGGCGCCCCTAGCGGCGGAGGGCGATGCCAGGCTGCCAGCGCACGTGCAGGAGATCAGCCAGGAGAACATCAAGAATCGGATCAATGAGGTCATCACCGAGATCGAGCGCGAGGTGGAGCGTGAGGAGCGGGAGGACTGTGAGGACGCGGAGGAGGACAAGGCTGAGCGGGTGAGTGTCGGGTTCCCAGGAGGACGTTTTCACAGCAGTGAGAACATGGTCTGTTCAGAGGTTTCTTCGGGGACGAACAGCGAACCTCGACTTACCTCACCAGCGCGTGTGTTGAGTGCTCGCAATGTCACAAATGTCGTAAATGTCGTAAACTACCATCCCTTGTGCACCACTGAAGACTCTTTGTGGATATATTTCGCTGGAGAGGTGCGAGGAATAGTGGCGTAGCCAGGATATCGTCCAGGAAGGGGGCCAGATCGGACAACACGGGACCTTTCCGGCCTAGGACGCCTCTTTCCGTTACTCAGGGACCCTGCGTTAGGATTCGGGGCGCCTTTTGGGCTCAGGATCCTATCTTGATATCTCGGACGGACGTTTTTGCGTTTGGGCAGTCTCAACCAAGCGTAAACTGTCAAAAAATACTGGGACCTTTCCTTTGCATGGGTACTCGCCACCTCCAGGAGAGAAGGGGGAGGGGGGAGTAGACCCAAATCCCGCTGGCTACACCACTTGCGGTGAACTAACTAATCGTTTGCGTTTGCTAACCTATCTGCTACCCTGAGAACGAGTGGGCACCCCTAATGCGATACCACAGAGTCATACGTGACACTGCGTTTCAAGAAAATCGTGAGGACCATCTTAAAGCCCCGCTGAACGCCGATAACTGGGCTGGCCGATGACTTATCTCCTCAGCAGTTAGAAGTGAATCAGAAAGATAAGTGGTTTGGTAGCTTTCAGTAGCCCCCTGCCGTTCACAGCAGGCAGTGGTTTTCTGGTCGCCACCCACTGGCGGCCATACCGTACCGGCGGACGCGCGTGACGGAAGTTAGACTGCACCGCAAAACACGACGGCGTATCGCCAGCACGTTGTCAATAATCCGTCCCGTATCAGCAGCTGCCGCCAGCTGCCGTAACTCAGCCAACAGCTTCCTTCCTCCTCCCTGCTAATGCTGCTAATGGTGGGTGGACAAATATCTCTGAGCAGCACTGAGAAAGGTCGCATGCTATTCCAAGAGGAGAGGAAGGTCGCCTGCCGTTCCTCGTAGTCCAAGAGGACGACTACTTCGCGCTCTGCCTTTTCCTTATCTTCCCACTCTAACTGCTTATGTGTGCGTGTGCGTGTGCATGTGTGTGTGTGTATGTGTATGTGTGTGTGTGTATGTGTATGTGTGTGTGTGTGTGTGTATGTGTGTGTGTGTGTGCGCGTTTGTATGTCACCTTATCTTCCCAAAAATAAGATTAAGTGGGGTTCCAGCTGCGAGGGACGGGTCCGGGGGACAAGTGCGTTCGCTGCTCTTCTGCCGGGCCGCCGCTGGGTGTTTGTGCGCCGCCGGCTGCCACTGTCACGCCTCCCCACAAGGGCGAATTTATACTGGGGAACCCATTGGTCAGCATACAAGCCAGATGATCTTAGCACACGACTTAGGACGTTGTGACTCCGGTACATCCGGCATCAACACACATTCATATAGGCTTCAGGGATAGGACGTAGCGGATGACCGGAATATTGGCGCGATGGCGGGTCAGGTCAGGCACCATAAACGACTGTCTCCCCGTACATGACTGTGCGCCCTTAGCCGCCGTACACAACCTCCACCTTTTAGCTGATCATAATATCTAAATGGGGCAAAAACGGAATTAGATCCATTGATAATAGAGCCGAATTAGCATGGTCCCACGCAGCCGGCGAATTACTTTGGCAAGAACCCGCTGGATAACAGCCTTGGGAGTACCCTCGGCCTTAACTGGTCCGCACAGACCTCGTGCATTCGGCGACCCACCAGACTCGCTCCAAGCATGCACATTCGCTGGCGCCCACGCCACCCTCCCATTCTTGGCTCGCACGCGGAAGCCTCCCCCCCGCCCTTCCAACGCACTGACGTTGGGGTTGGCCGGTCTTGGCAGGTCCTTGTTGATCTAAGCTGGATTCATTTATCCCATTCCACTCATCCCATAAAGCCATGATTAAGCCCTAACTAAGACATATCAGGTTAATTCATCCGTTTGGCACCTACGCAGCTACTGGGCCGCCATCAGCCGTCCGAAGCAGGACGACGACTCGTTCCCTCGCTTGACCTCCAGGGTCAGGCGAGGAAACGAGGGTCAGGCGAGGCTCCCTATGCAGAAGACGCTCTCCCCCGTCTCGCCCACGATGGGGCGGCCCACCATTCCTTCGGCCACGCCCATCGTTCGCAGCTTTTTTTCGCAGGAAACGGTCGCTTACCCACCTGAAAGGGCGAGACATTGTTTTCCTCTGCAGATTCTGTCCACACTTGCGTCGCTTTGTTGTTCCGGGCCGATCGGCTGGAGCATCGGGCGGGCCCGCATAAAGCTCCCAGACCCTGCTTGGTCTGATGGTCATGTTTGGTCTGGCGGGGGAGGGAGTTCCTAACCACGGCCGGCCTGCTCGCTGCCCCACGCGCCAGCGGGAAGCCCACCGACCCTGGAGACGGGTGGCGCGCAAAATGAAAGCGTGAAAATGTATGTCTACACAGCCAACAGGAAAATACTGACTCGGTAACTCCAATCTGGCACACCCGTATCAGCAGCGGAAGCTCGAAGTGCGAATGGCTTCTCGTTAGGTTTTCCATTTATAGCACATCAGGATCCACAACAACATCTTGGGGGCAGTTTATCGACCCCCAGAGGCTCCTATTATGCTCAAAATCCTTTGATCATTGTCATGTATGTAGCGAGATCACGGAGAAAAAGGTGTAAAGATGTAGGACAGAGCTGACTCAAGTCTGAAAACGGAATAAGGCATTGGGGCTAGAACAATTTTTGAGCTACACATCTAGTTCCCGATTAATCTCATGAATCGGTTGATACCGTCATTGTTTGGCAGGAGCTCTTCTCTCTCTCTCTCTCTCTCTCTCTCTCTCTCTCTCTCTCTCTCTCTCTCTCTCTCTCTCTCTCTCTCTCTCTCCTCTCTCTCTCTCTCTCTCTCTCTCTCTCTCTCTCTCTCTCTCTCTCTCTCTCTCTCTCCTCTCCTCT